AAATCTCTGTTTCCAAACTTTCACCCTGGGGCTAAGGAGAAGGACTAAGTGCTCAGGCAGTGAGTGGAAGCCACCAGCAGCGCAAACACGGTACTGCACCCCAGAAAGCAAGAGCCCAAGTGCAGGCAGGGTGCGTGGCCCCAAAGGGTCCGCGCCCTCCTGCCTCTCCCTGGGGCGCAGGAGCCAGAGTCATCACTCAAGACCCTCGGGCTCCATGACTGGGCAGGGGAGACCGAGCAGAGGCGCATCGGTGGGGACTCCAGGACCGCCCTCCCACCCACACTCCTACTTGTCTCAGGGAGTGCTCCACCCGCGCGCCCCAGCGGTCAACACACCCAGGATCCGACACTCTCGCCCCCAGGTGCCCCCAATTCTCGCGCTCCTTCCAGGGCTTCTAGCTCTCTACCTGTGGCTGCATGTGGTTCCCCGGCGCTGCGACGCTCCTCTGTAGGACGCTGCCAGCGGCAGGGAGACCCTGCGACATGCCGGGCGCTCCTCCAGCCCGGCCCGCCCGGGGCGCCCAGCCTCGCGGAGGAGCGGCCGCTGGCCCGCCGCGCCCTGTTCCCGGGGCTGCTACAGGGACTCTCCCACGCGGGGCATCCTCGCGCCCCGGCACCTGCAGGCCGCCCCTTCCGCCCCGCCCCCGCCGGCTTCCTGCTCTCCCCGAGCGGCCGGCGCCCCGGCGCGCGCGAGTCCCGGGGCTCCCTACCCTCAATCCCTGCCCGCCCCCAGCCGGCCCTGCGCCCGCCTCATTTCCTCCGCTCCCGCCCTCTCACCGCCACTCGGGGTCCCAGATCCCACCCCTGTCACAGCTTTCCACTGGGGGCCCCCCCACGTTTAGTGGAAGTCACGTGGTGGCTCTGAAACCCAGGAGGGAACGTGAAGCCCACCCACAAGAGGCCGTGCTGGGGTGTAAAAAAGGGTTCAAGGAAGCTCAGAGCAGTCTTTGGGGTCCTTCGCCCCCTCCCCCTCGGGGAACTTGGGAAACACAAGTAGGTGGTTTGGGGTTGGTGTTTTCCCGCGTCCCGTCACAGCATCCTCCTACCTCCTCGCCTCCCCGCTGCCTCGGTCAAGGTCTCCGGGGACTTTCTCTGAAGTGATCACTCACTTTCGCGTCAGAGGTGCAGCCCCCTCCACTCTCGCTCCTTCCGCAGTCCTCGCCTCGGCTTGGGAGGTGCAGGGGCTGAGAAAGGGACAAGGAGCGTTAGCACCCTAAGTGTACCCTGCTTTCCTCTAAACTTGTGGGAGGGAACACGGCGGGGCGGTCCAATGGTAAATTCCCGAGGAGAGCGAGCAGGTTGCCCCCAAGAGAAACCTTACGTCGCCCTCTCTGGATGTCACTATTGACAGGATTGGGGATCTGGACCCGCCAAGCTAAAGTGAAAAGAACCTGGTGCTCTTTTTCTTGAGATCAAAGTGGTCGGAGCCATGCTTACAGGTTAAGATGCGCGGTTGTTACCGGGCGCGCGCCAAACTGGGAATTCGAGGAGAGCGGGTGCTTCCCCGCCCGCCCGCCTGCCAGTTAAACCGTTTAAGTCAAGGCAATAGTGGATGTACCTGGGCTTGGCCAAAATGAAACGCCACACCTGAGCGGTTAAGAGTTTGTGGTCTGAATGCTGTGAAGACCAGGTAAAGAAGAAAACCGCGAACAAAAGTGAGGGGTAGTTGGGGTGGGGGTATGGGGAGAGGTGGAAACTCAGGCCAGGAGGTCAGATGTGCCTTTCCAGTGATCGCGTAATCTGTCAGGCCAGGTACGGCAGGCAGGAGGTGGTGGTGGTGTGCGGATCCGGACTCCTGATTCAGTCCATGTAGTCCACGAGGATTTTAAGATCTTCGCCAACTCTGAAATATTGCTTCCTTGACCATTGTTTGAGCAATGCAGTGGGAGGGCAGAGGGGGATCAAGCCCCTTTATAGCCTCAGTACACACCACACCACACCACGGAGCCATCTCTATAAAACCTCATCTCCCTTACATTTTGTCTTTCTACTTCATTCGTGGTGGGTATCCCACGTATGCACACAAAATGTGCCACATAAGTTGAGTTCCCCGATTAAAACAAACTTGGAAGGAGGAGTGGCATTCACTTCCATAATAGCTTGCCTCCAAAAACCCTATGAACCTGGAGAGAGGATGAAAGGCACCCAAGGGTGGAGGAAGGATTCTCCTTCATAGGGTCGCTATGAGTCGCCTGCGACTCAATGGCACTTAACAACAACAACAAGTAGAACATAGCAAGTGGCCAGTCGATTTATTGATAAATAAAGCAGAAGTAGTTCAGCTGAAAGCCCGCATCCTTCAAACTTAACAGGATTCAAACAAACTAGGAAAACCTCGAGGGCAAAGGGACATTTGTTCTGAGATGTGTTTGCATTCCTCAGAAGTGTGTGTGACTAGAAAGATCAAGGCTAAGCACAGTGTGGATATTTAGGTAAACTGCCAGTTTGATTCTGGTTAGCGTCCTAATTTAATTCTCACTTAGCAATATCGCAGTCCAAATCTTGTGGGGCTATACCTACATTCATATCTTCTAGTAAAAAAACAACAGCAAACAAACAAAAAAACCCCAAAACTCCAGAAACTCATAGCTGACCTTCTAGCTGGTTTTCAGAGACTGTCAATCACACAGGAGGAGATTACCCATTTTTCTCCTTTAGAGCAGTTGGTGGATTCCGCCTGCCTGCCATTGTTAGCAGCATAACTCCTTACCCACTAGGCCACCAGGACTCCCAAGAACTCATAGACACAACCTTTCCTGCCCTTTATTGAACAAGGTCATCTCCAAGTATCTCTAAAGGAGTCTTGATCAACTAGTTAATGTTTAAGGAACAGATCACTTTGACCTACAGATCAAATTGGCACATATCAAAATAAATGGATTTTATGCTCAAATACAGAAAATGAAATTAGGGAGAAAAAGAAGAGAGATCAAGTAATTATTAAAACTGTGGAACTAAGACAACAAAGAGAAAGACTAATCCATGAAAAATTACTATAACAAGCTCTGCCCAGCCTAGGCAGGAGGAGCTGGATGGAATCACTTCAGCCTTTGCTGACTGCTTGGGTGTTTTTTTTTAGGCTCCTGAGTTCCACAGATGGTTCAGTAGTGCCAAGTGAGTTTACTCCTTTGTTAGAGCATTTGGGATGTTCACCTTGGTGACATCTTAAGATAAAAAGGCAATGTCCCAGTGACTGAAAAGGATCTGGGAATAATGTGGACAGATGGCTAGAACACCAGTGGTGATTCGTGATGGAGTGTCCCGTTCCCATTGGCTCCTAAGGATCTTACAGATGCAAAGAACAGCACCTAGAAGCTTGGCATCTCCTGTATTGATGTATAACCAGCTGACAACTTAAGGGGAAGTTACCTAGGAATTTGGATCGATCTACTTTTTTGGTTTTATGTAAAATGGATTCTAATAAAATACTTTAAAGCACACACACACACACACACACACACACACACACAAGCTCTGCACTATGTATGTTGTGGTGTGCGCCATCATGTTGGAATTGACACACAGCGGACCCTCCTACCAGATTCAGAGGCACTTAATTACTCTGGAGGAGATTGCCCATCCTTCTCCCACAGAGCAGCTGATGGATTTGAACCATGAGTCTTTGGGATTGCAACACAGCTTCTTACCACTAGGCCACCAGAGCCCTCTCCCCCAGACTATATATAAGAATCTAAAATTCTGGGGAGCTCTGGTGGCCTAAGGGGCAAGAAGCTGCATTGCAATCCCAGAGGCTCACGGTTCAAATCCACCAGATGCTCTGCTGGGGAAGGAGAGACAATCTCCTCCTGTACCAGTCAGATCTGATTTGACAGTACACGCACACACACAAATAATAAAAACAAACAAATAAACAAACCCATCAATAAAAAAATATAAAATTCTAATATCAAACTATGTAATAACGTCAAATGTTTTCTATAATTGAATTAAATTAAAAAACAACTAGAAAAAACTTTACAATAAAAATGACAAAGGGTTAAAATCTCTGTTACTGTATATCTACAGTCCATAAAAAGAAATAAGAAAAATATTGAGATATCTAAAGGTAAATTACACAAGTGACGTGAACTGGTATTTTCCAATGAAACAATCCAAGAAAATAGAGATAGAGAAAATGCATATTAAACTAATAAACTATTCAAATATTAGCAAAATAAAAGTTGTAATATTAAGTGCTAGTGTATCAAGAGTATGTGGTAAAATTACTGCTCTCCTTTTTTACCAGCATAATTAGAAATTGTTGCAGCCCTTTTGGAAGGTGCTTTTATTACAACTTTAAAGAATCATAAAGGGAAATTCTTTTTTAAAAAAGCTAGAAAAATCATCTCAGGAAAATAGGTATAAGAATAAAATAGTATATGAACTAAATAGTCATAAAAGTATTTGAATAGTGAAAAATCATAAGCAACATAATTCCTTATTATAGATGAATAGCTAAATAGAATATGGTGCATCCATAGGGTAGAATATCATGCATTTTTGAAATTACAAGCAAGTAGACAAATGTGTCACAGGAAAAACTGATTTGATATAAGGCAAATAAGAAAAAAATTCAGGATACAAAAGTTCATGTACAATATATTCATTGTATATATATGTATGTATGTATGTTGTTAATATGTGCCGTCGAGTCGTTTGCAACTCATAGCGACTCTATGTACAACAGCCCTAAACCCTGCTCTATCCTGTGCCAATCACATTGCCTCTGACACACCCATCCTGATTACCCTAGTAACTGAATCAATCCACCTTATAGAGGGTCTTCCCCTCCTGCGCTGTCCCTCCACCGTACCCAGCATGATGTCCCTCACCAAGGACCTGTCTCTCCTTACAACATGTCCAAAGTATGTCAGACGAAGCCCCAGAATCCTTGCCTCCAAGGAGTAGCCTGGTTTAATCCTCTATAGGATGAATCTGTTTGTTTTCTTGGCAGTCCATGGTACATTCAATACTCTTCTCCAGCACCACAGCTCAAAGGCATCAATTCTCCTCTGTCCTTCCTAGTCATTGTCCAACTCTCTGATGCATAACAAGTGATTGCAAAGACCATGGCCTGTATCAAGCGCACCTTAGTCTCCAGAGAGACACCGTTGCTCTTGAGTACTAAAGTACTCTAAAGAGAGGTCCCTAACACCAGACTTTCCCATTGCAATATGTTTTTTTATTTCCTGGCTGCTGGTGCCAAGAGTATTGACAGTGGAGCCGAGCAAACTGAAGCTGTGAACAATCTCAATCTCTTAGCCATCCATCCTGATGCTACCAATTGGTCCAGTGGTGATAATCTTTGTCTTCTTGACATTGAGCCTCAGTCCATACTGAAGGCTGCAGTTCTTGACCCTCTGCAGCAAGTGCATGAGGTCCTCCTCAGTTTCGGCAAGCAGGGTTGTGTCATCTGCATAACTCAGATAGTTAATAGATCTTCCACCAATCCTGACGCCTCTCGGATAATCTGCTCTGCATACAG